CCATATATCTTGTACAACTAATTTTTTTAGCTATGTACCCCGATGTGGCCGCGATGTGGCCGGGCTGAGGTGTGGCCGCTAAGGATTAAACTTTTCTGAGATATTTTTTATGTATGACACCGTAAAATATGTATTTATTAAATTATCATTGTCTGAATTTTGAGAATTATTATTATATACATTCTTTCTTCTAGCTAGACATTTGATTCTTTTGTTAATGGTATTAAAAATTAAGTCTAAAGGATAGCCGTTGTCAAGTAAAGTAATAATCATCATTTCAATGTTCTTATTGTGAAATTCTGGATGTGCAAGAAATAGAATTCTATCAAGTAGGCCGATAATAACACCTTTTTTATGTTCAAGCGGATGATTCGAATGAAAACTAAGGTAGCGTCCAGAATTCGTCGGTTTTTTATAATTGTTAAATCTAATCTGTCCTTCCTCAACATACACAGTAACATCAAGAAAAGATATCGAACTCTCATAATTCCGTTCACACGTAAATGTAATCCTGTCATGAAAAGAGTTAAATGTATCTAATATCTCATTAATTTGATTTTTTGGAATTGCAAGAATAATATCATCCACATACGAGGGTCGTCTGAAAAGTTTTGAGCCTCATCATGAAGATCGCGTTACTCGTTAAAGCCATTCTGGTATTATAATCGTGATACTTACGAAAGATATCTGTGACAATTGTGGCCACTTTGGACGTTCAGTTCTTGTTTGACAATCATTTGTGTCGTCATTTTGTGAAAATGGAAGAAATTGAATATCGTGCTATAATTAAATTCTTGCATTTGAAAGGCAATACCTCTACGCAAATTAAAGCCGAGTTGGACGCTGTTTACGGGGACTCTGCCCCATCATTTGCCACCGTGAAAAGATGGGTAGCTGAATTTAAACGTGGTCGTACCAGCTTAGCTGATGATGAGCGTTTGGGACGGCCAACAACTGCTATCACACCGATAACATCGAAGAAATTCATCAAATGATAATGGACAATCGTCGAATTAAGATTAGGAAGATAGCAGAGGCTGTTGGCATATCAAAAGAATGTGTTTGTCATATATTGACTGAAGAATTAGGCATGCGTAAGTTAACCGCGCGTTGGGTGCCGCGCTTGCTCACTCTGGATCAAAAACCCATTTGAATGGACATTTCGAAGGCCCTGTTGGAGCGGTTTAAGCGAAACGAGTCGGATTTTTTGCGTCGATTAATAACGGTTGATGAAACTTGGG